CTTCTTCTCACCGATTCCTGATGGTTAGAGGACAGTTACTTGAGTCGTCCCCTGTCGTTTCAAGGAATAGTACAACGTAGAGCGGGTCCAGTATAAACGCCTTGACCGTTTGGAGCGGTGCGCGCGCTGTCTGTGGAGACTTGCGCATACTTTCGCCTGCCTCCGCAGCGCGAGTCTCCACAGTTTATACTTGACCCGCTCACATCCGGAGTCGTCGTCATGGCGGCACGCATTGTTTAGAGCAGATATAGGTGGATAAACAAGGTTTCCGTCTCATCGCGGGTTCAGATACACTGAAATACGTCCACACCACAGACATGTTGCTTCAGACAAGCACGTGCAGGTCGCGGTTTCTGTTTGCGTCATCACAACATTTCGGCCGTATTGTTTCGGTGATAAAAGTCTTTCGGCCGAAAACCGAAAATGCACTTTTGGGCCATTTTCGGCCGAAAATTTTCGGTGGCCGAATATTCGGTGCATCCCTAATTGTACATGTTTGCGCGGTTATTGAAAACTTAAAAGGAAAGTTTCTGAGAGGAAAGCCACAAAACACACACTTAAATATGCGTCAACAAGACTTTTGACCAATGGATGATCTGAAAATCATCCTGCCTAATCATTCACATAAAACTGAATTGTTTGAAACTGTGTGTATATATATATATATATATATATATATATCCATTCATTCACACACAGACACGCATTTCATATTTAAACAGAACAAAGTTTTCATGGCTTGCCTCAAGCGCTTGAAAAGCACACGCTCTCAGTGGCCGTGGTCACATTACGCTATAATTAGGTGAAAGGAAAAAGACTGACATCTCTCTCTTTTCATGCAGATTACATCAACTGAGAATAGTTTTTTTTTATATAAATTACTTCATTTAAAAGAAGAGAATTTCAGCTGCATAAAGAGAAATCTTTCATGTCTCTGTGACAAGTATTTACTTGGTTACAGTTCATTTTTCGGACGCGTTTCAGAATGAACTTCAATGACAGAAAAGGCAAAACGCGAATCATGTTTATTTTCCTTTACTTGACAAAAAAGCAGAACAATTTGTTTTTATTGTTAGTATGCACAAAAATAGACACTTAACAGGATCGAATGATGTATAACACTTATATGTAAGATCAAAATCAGCAGAGTATTTGAGTCTCTTTTGCACTAATAAGAAAAAAGTTGAGCTCGTCACGCCAGCGCGATAGCCGACCCCAGAGGTTTAAAGGCTAATTGTTTAATGTGGTATCATTTACAGAGTGATTTGCAGGAGAATCAGAAGAAGGTTGGAGAAATGGAAGCAGGGCTGCAGAAAGCCAATAACAAAGTGTGTAATATGGGACACATGCTCACCCAGCTGTCCATCAAGGTTAGACATGTTTGTGACAAAAATACTGGATATAAAACACTATCCATTACAGTGAAAGAATGTTTCAATTTTTAAAAGCAAATTTTAGATGTGGCCCATATTTATTGATTTGGTTGGTTTAATTTTGATTTGTCTTCTTGATTTATCCAACATCAGCTAAACAATAGTGAAAACATGGAGCAGCAGATGGCTTTCCTGAACAAGCAGCTGCTGCTTTTGGGTGAAGCCAACAAGTTATGTGCAGAGGAAATTGAACGCTTGGGGCCTGAGGCTAGCAAGGTAGTTATGATTATTAACTATTGATGACTTAAATCACATCATTGCTTAAACTCAGCAGATCTCTATTTTGCTTTTTTTTTAATCCAGCAATTCATGAAATAGTGGCTAATGTGATCAATTGTTCTGTTGATATCAAAACATTAGCACCCAATCATTAGAGCTTTAAACCATTGAACTTGAAATTTACTTTGGTCTGCTCAGATCAACTCTGACTTGATCCTTTTTGTGACTTTTAGGAGCTGAATATGCTGCAAGCATCTTCACTGCGTGAGGTTGAGCGTTTGAGGCAAAGCTCTCTCCAGCAGAGTCAAAGACTTGATGCCACCCAACAGCGCATCACAGACCTGGAGACTCAACTCGCCAAGAAAGAGCAAGTCATCCGAGAACAAAAGAAACTGCTGGAGAATGTCAAAAGTCAAGCCACGTATGTGGTTATCTCTGCTTTCATAGTCCTGAATCATATTGAGAATCCTATCGAATCTGAATCATATTTCTATGCCCAAACACGGTGTATTATCACAGGGATGCAGACATTTTTTTATCAGCCGAACCCCTATAACCTAAAATATTTACTTAAAGTCCCTCATGAGATTTAAAGTTGGTATTTAAATCATTTTCAAGTGCCCCTATTATGCTTTTTTCAAGTATTCACTTTAATGCTGTGTGTATTATATCTGTCTGGGAATGTAAATGGTCTGCAAAGTTTTTAAGTCAAAAAGTGCTCGATAAATAGTTATTGTCTCCTAAAATAAATAATTGACTCGACTCTTGACCGTGTAAACAAGTCGTCAGGAATTCTCGCCTCACTTTCGTAACGTGCATGCGTAACCTGGTAAAATATTTTGTCTTCATTGGCTGTCCCCGAACAACGTCTACTTTGACCCACTCTCCCTTGTCAAGAAGACGCAGTGGCCTGCTCTGAAAATTCACTTTGCAAACACTTCCAAAGGATAAGGATGTGAAGGGTCAGTGGTTACAATTACCATTGTAATACATCTAAACAGGATTTACAAAATACTTATCTATCAAAGATTGGATAGTATCCACTTTATTTGGACCAACTTGCTACTTATAATCACAACCTGTAAGTATGATTAATTAATGATGTATATATTTTCTACCGGATGTTCAACATTTTTGTGTTATATTGTGTAGGTCTCCGGATAACCTGTTAACTCTTCATTACTGTCTTACCTGTTGGAGACCTCCAAAACAAAATTAAGAACAACCTTTAAAATTGCATAATAGGGGCTCTTTAACAACACAATCACGTTCTTGATTAATGGTCACATGACATGTAGGTAAACAATATACATTTAAAATGTATTTTAGTTTTATTTAATTTGGCATTTTTTTCATCAGCCCATGAACCCCCTGTAATGTTTGCTAATGAGCAGTTGTTGATAGATCTTTTTTGCTTTATTGATCATAGATCATCTGGTTCTGTTAATCTCATCAACCAATTCTTACTGTAAAATGTACTAATTTAATCCTTGTCTGCATTGTTTTTTTTCCCCTGTAGGGAGCAGCTGCAGGCTTCAGAAAACAGATATTTGGCCCAGAAGCAAATAACTCAGGCATTACAATCTGAGCTGCTTGAGCTCTATAGCCAGATAGAGCTCAAAAATCTGAATACTAAAGCACCAGCAGAACCCACTTCTGAGCCAAGCAGTCCCACCAACCAGAGGTGTGGTCCATATTGTTGTCCCTCCACGTACTGATTTACAAATGCAAGCAATGTGTTCTATACTGTATTTGTAGACTTTTCAAGACGGAAAGATGATGGGTTGCTGAATTTTGTAGAAGAATTATATTTTTATTTGTGTTTCAGGCCAAATGGAAACAGTGCAGGCCCATTTGCTCAATCTCTATCAGCTGACCCAATGAAAAGAGAGGAAGGCACGCACATGTGCGTCAATGGTGAAATATCTGATGGGCCTCCACAATCACCCACAGCATTCAATAATGGCAGCCAGGAAGAAGATCTTTCCGCCCTTACCCGTTCATTTCCTGGCCTCCCCTGTGACTCCCCGCTGGCAGTTGGCTCTTACCCCAGTACCGGAAGCTTTTTGGGTAAGAGAGCCAGAGAGATGTTTCGCAATAAGAGCGAGAGCCACTATGATGGCGAGCCGGCTGCCCTCACCTGCCTTTCCAAGGATCTTAATGTTCCGCCAATCACAGACCCCACAGAGAGCATAGAGCTTGAAGGGCCTACTGACCAGGCTGACCTGCAGCCCATGGACAGACCTCGAGCGTATAATATTCAACGGCGGAGGCAGCAGGATTTGCGGATCATGGATTACAACGAGACCGTCCATGAGCATTGATTGTACACTGCTGACATGATTGTCTGCAGTTAGAAGAGGATAATTTTGGACCCAGTATTAGAACGCAACACTCTTTTTGTTAGAGTGGTTTGCAATGTTTTAGTTCATTTTAAAAGCTCTTGTATTATGAAATGGCCAAAAAAGGTTGGCAGTTGCCATATAGTCACCACAGTGGCAAGAGAACATCTTGTCTTCAAAAAAAAAAAAAAAAAAAAATGGTTCACTTATCTCCTGTCTAATATGAATTCGATGTAATTCCGAATATTTTTGTTTTGTTTTTTATAATTGGCATTCAGTAAGCAACCGTGGTGATTATATTTTGTGGTGGCTGGATGTTATTTGGGCCTCTTTACTGTACTTTCCAGCAAATGTATTGACTAAATCACTGTATTTGCTTTTGTAATAGTACCGTGCAGTTTCCAATCCTCTCAAATTTGTCCACCCAAAATGCCCCTTTGAGTCATTGTAAGATGAACATCATTAATTTCTGCTGATGTGACTCAGAAATTGCACAATATAGAGTTTGATCACTGCAAACGAAGCACTGTAAATAGATCATGCCTCTGAAAAAACAATCAATCAGTCTGATAAAAATGTGAAAAACTAAAAAGCTATGTGGCGTAGGTGAAGTAGAATGAGAAAACACATTTCATTGCTGAGGCAAGTCGTGTGTATATGCCATAGCAGTGCTTTGTGCACTTCGCCTACAGAGAATAAGCAAGTCTTGTGTTGTATTTCTAGTAATAGATTTTATTTTTATGCATTAATGTTCTCCACTGGGATTGTAGCGCCCAGTCACCAGTGCAATACTTCTTAGCTAATACTTCATGCCAGCTCAAAGGTATGAGTGATGATGGGAAGAAGAAACAGATTTAGATTGCTGCTTTGCAGGACCGTCAGAGCCTTATAGAACACAGGCCAGGCTGCTGTAGGTGCATTTGTCCAGTTGAGACCTATTGAGGAATGAAAATATCTTTGTGGTCTAAGATATGTCTGACGGGTGAATGTTTTTGTGTTGATAGCGTACAAAACACGGCCACTGCAATACTTCGACACACTAAACTCTGAAAGGAAGCTGCTCGCTGTAAGCCAGAAGGCTTATGTCCCTCTATTATTTTCTTTCATTTCTGTTTTACGTAGGTCAGACCCCATCTGCAACGAAAAGGCTTCATATAAAAGGCTGCAGGTGGCTGAAGCAAAAGCACTTCTTTTTTAATTCAGGCCCTCTTAAGATTGCTGAACCCTAGCAGAGCAATACACTCGTCTCCATCTAAAAAACGTGCCCCAGGGCTTTGTGTTCAGTGCGAGATATAAATGGAAAATGTGAAGTGTTGTTGCAAAGAAAGTAAAATGCTGGCTTTGGCCTGCCAGCTGGAGAAATGGCTCAGAAAATTTACAGTGAGAATTGAAATCTATGGAAATCACTGCTGTTTTTCTTTGTTTTCAAACTGTTCACCTTGAGTGTGATCTTACAGTGTGTGCTTTGTTTCCCTGTCACTCAGGCTTTACATTTGTTTTTATACCAAAAGCCCTCTCAAACATTTTGTTGTTTCACAAAATGCCTTACTTAAAAAAAAAAAAAATAGGAAACCTGTCCGTCACCTGAAGTCGTTTGTCAAAAGTTATCTGAACAATGGTACAATCAGACGGTGATGGGTGTAATGGGTAACCAGGGACTCTATTTTGAATTTAAGAAAACAGATTTGTGTTCAACTTGCTATGATCAACAAAAAATAAAATATATGTTTTGCATATTTATTTGTCATAGTCGTCTATTTTAAAATTATAGTTGTATATAATACTTTTGTGAAAACACGTGAAAGCAAAAACGTGCAGGTATTGAAAAAGTATTATCTATCTATCTTGTATTTCCTGGTGGCTTCCAAGCTGGTTTTCCAGCATGGAAGCCTCCTGTGCCTTTCTTATATATACTCAGGTTCTCACTGGTCTCTTTATCAAGGTCTGCAACCATCCCCACATTCTTTGCTACTGTTTGTTGAGATGTTTCTGTAGCTGTTGGAGTGAGACGTTGAGCACCTTTACTGTAGTAGGTGGTGAGGAGGTCTAGAGCCAGTGGAATCACGCTAACAATCCCACCATAGTTCCTTGCTTCATCACAGCTCAGCCGGTTGATTTCATTGTGTGGGTAGCTGTGAATGAAAAAAGAAGTAATGAATGGTGTTGCATTGTGGCTATTCTTCAATGTTAAGATGACAAGAAATCAATGAAAAGAAAAAAACAGTAATCCTGGATATAAAATTTAAGCCTAAAAATGTACATAGCAATTTAATTGTGTTTAATTTTTGTGTTACTTAACTGTGCCCTTAGCTGGCTGATGTTGCTGTTTGGGCCGAGGATCTCCCTGCATGTATCCAGGCTCTCACAGGAAGTGTTTTGGATAGACCGAGAGGACTCTAGATGTTTTAAAACACCTTCAAGATCCGAAATAACTTCCAAAAAAAACAAAAAGATGCGCCTGTCTGTGGAATTGCTGCAGTGGTGGTTCATGTACCTTTGGACCTACAGAGGAACATCATTTAATGATTAGGTCAAACTTTACATTATGCTGTAATTATGTATTGAGTACAAGTAATAAACAAAATATACTATTATGTGGAACTGATTATAATTACACATACACTTCCATTCAACAGTTTGGGGTCATTTTTTAAATTAATGAATCTATTCAGAAAGAATGCATTAAATTGATCAAAAGTGAGAGTAAAGACTTAAAAAAATCTAATAAATCAATCTAAAAATCTAATGTATCAAATTAATGCTGTTCTTTTTAACTTTCTACTTATTAGAGGTACTTATTTTTTTGCAACATGTATTGTTAGAAATGTTGATGAAATTTAACATTGCAGTGGAAATATGTTATTTTGGGTATTATTGTAAGCTCCAAAGATAATCAAACTTTATTTTCATTTTAATGGCTAAATTTCCCAAACATTTAGTATAAAGCATTATATTGAGTTAATACTGCCCTGAAGAAGAAAAAAAACCTTCAAATATTACATTGTTGAAACCTCCCCGTAGCATTTAAAATGATGTATTGTAATTATATTGTCTTGATATTTTCTTAAAAAAGGAAACAACCAATGCATAACCTGTGCGACGGTGGAGACAGGCTCAGTTTTGTCCCTGGCGTGCCCTCTCGACCGCTCAAGGGCTGTTATAAACGTAAATTGTTGTTGTTTGAAACGTTTATACTTCTCCTCAATGGAAAGTAACTGCTCTCTGACTTCAGCCATCTCAGTTGAAGTAACTTACATAACCTAAATGGATACAGTAAAGTTAGAGTGCATAAGAACATTACTGTTTAGATGTAACGTTTGTTGTTAGCACAGAACTGTGTAAAGTTAGAGATACAGCTTGAAAACTGAGATGTTTGGACTTGAGAAAATGGTATTTTATTCAATATGGAAAACAATAGAGATTTTGATGGAAGATGAACAGATATGGTATTCATCATTATAAATGACACAAATTCACATGGACTAGAGCTTACCTTTTAGTGCGTACTGTTAGGTCTATCAAACGATATGTAAAGTGTTACTGTTGCATTGAATTTGCGCTGCTTAGCAACCAGAGTATGAAACTCATGCGCCCTCTGGTGGCTGAGGTGGCGATTGGCTGACCAAGTTACCAATGGCAACAAACATTAACAAACGCATGCGCACAGCGAACTATCAACAACAACTACATTTCAAGGTAACATCAATGTTCTTCTCGATTAAAACAGTAAACTGCATCTTGTTCTTTTAAATTAAGTAAGTTACCTACGTAGTTTCCGTAACATTCCTTAATTTCCATTTTGTTAAAATAAAGAGCAATAGTGCATCAGAAAACCTAACGTTACATTCAGTAATTTGTTCTGTTTGACTTTGAAAGGTCAATCCGAAAACCTACAGTTTTGTTTAACGCTACTTAATCAGTTTAATAGGCCCCCCTCCCTTTTGTACAAGTTTAGCCCAGATCACGTGGTTTAGCCTCATAAAACACACTTGGATGTGTTTTATTGATTTAAAAGGTTAACTTAACGTTAGTTCACCCAAAAATGAAAATTCTGTCATCCTCAAGTTGTTCCAAACCTGTATGAATTTCTTTCTAATGATGAACACAAAAGAAGATACAATAATTGATGTCCACCATTGACTTTCAATTGTTTTTCCATTCTATGGAAGTCATTGGGGTCCATCAACTGTTTGGTTAACTTGCCCACATTCTTCAAAATATTTTCTTATGTTCAGCAGAAGCAATACATTAATGGGTTTGGAACAACTTGAGGGTAACTTAAGTGATGACAAAATGTTAATTTTTGTCTAAACTAGCTACACCTTTAATGCTATTTTTTGTGAACCAATGCACTTTTAAAAAAAACAACAACAGTTATACAGATTTTCAAGCCTTTGGTGACTTTCTGTCTCGTATGGTGTATACTGCAGTGATGGATGCAACTGTAAGACCCCTCAGAATCCCTCCTGAGATGGCCATTTATGCAGAGAAACATGATATATTTCATCTGGTTCAGGTATAGACATTTTTACTAGATAATGTTTAACAAGTTTATTATCAATTCCACTCAAATAAATGACTCATTTGCAGACTCTACTGAAAAATTTGATGGTGAACAAACCGGAGGACCCCATTCAACACCTGATTAACTTGCTGAAATGGGACAGTGTTGATGGTAAGATTTTTGTCATTATACTTGTGATAAATCCTTAGCATTTTTTTTTATTTATTGTTTTACTTATCTTCTAAAAGCAATGCATTTTTACAAAAATATATTCCATACCACAAGATGGCGCAGTCATATATGATATTAGAAGTTGAAGGAGCAGCAGATATCCAACTTATTAACATTGTTTAGATAAAAAGGCATTTATCATAATTATAGAATGACTGGCTGCTTTTTAAACGCATAGAAATATATTATATTAGACTTAATTAACTATCAATGCCATCATGCATCAATATAATGAGTACAGGTTATTGATTTTTTACAAATAAACTTGTTTCAGTGCCAAGAATCATAATATTGGGTCCTCCAGCATCTGGGAAAAGAACCATAGTAAGTCATTTTAAGTACAAAATGATGTAGTAGCTAAATTAATTGAGCTTTGTTTTAATCTACAATTAAACAATTCAAGTGTTGTTTATATTCAAGTGTGTGTTTCTATTCTGTTTGATACATGGTTTAAATGGTGATAAGGTGATAGTAAGTGTCGTGCTCACTATAAATAACTCAGCATATATTTGTTTTTTGTCTGTAATTTTTTGCTTGTGCTTTCTTCAGTCTTGCAGTTTATTTATAAATAGGTCTGTCATGTCAGTTTTATCAGAGTTAAATGAACTAGATATTTATCATAGTTACACCATGAGGGCTCAGAGATTCCAGTACTGCTACACATCATGCACTTTTGAATATTTTCATTTTTGTCAGTGTTTTATATTTAAAATTTTATATCCTGCTTCCGATTGTCCTCTTTTGTCTTGCCGCAGGCTAAAAAGTTATGTGAGCACACACAGGCTATTCACTTAACTTTTAGTGATATCTTCAAGGATGACAGTGACCTGACCAGAGCTGCACAGAATCAAGATACAAAACAGGTGGGGTCTCTACTTCTATTAACTTTAGTTTTTTAGCAGGCCTAGAACATGGAAGTCTGCATGTATGTATCTGTATTACTACTCAATTGCAAAGTATATTTAAGGAAAAGTAGTCTGGAATGCCTTGATCGGAAATAGGAAAGGTAATGTTGTCAGCATTTGCTATAGTCTCTGGATGCCGGTAATTGCGGTCTCTGTGGTATTGTAAAGACATAGAACTGATCTTGTCTGAAGTCTGATCATGCAAATGCGATGCAGGCTAGTTAGTCGATAAATCAGGAGTTGAATAGAATTAAAAGAAAAGAGAGAGATGAGCTTAGGAAAAGTGCCTCCCAATGGTTTAATTATTCTAATTATCCTCTCACTTAAACTCGCCATGGCCTTGAGTTTAAAATAGAACGATCCAAAAGATTCCAATTATTATCATTTTCACAAAATTCACAAAGGAGAATGAGATGAAAGCAGCAGAGGATGTCATAAATAATTAGAGATTCAACAGCATATTTCAATGTGTTTGTTTAATAATAATTGGATTGTTTTGGTGGACAGTCATTTAGTAGAGAACGGATATATCTCAGGTAGGTTTAGAAGGTAATGTTAGAGACACAAATGACAGTCAGATGTTCTAAATTTTTATTTGACTAATATATTATATTTATTTAAATTCATTAGTATTACTTTTTTTTATTTAACACATTTTTCCTCTGTGATTTATTAATGCTGGTCTGATCAAAATGCAAATGAATCATTTGATAATCAGTACAGAGTTGTTTTAATTTCAAATATTTATTATTATTTTAATATACAAGATTGTCATTCATTTATATATATATAAATATATAAAATATATATTATATGTGTATAGTATATATTATTTATTTATTTTTAATAATTGAATTTGATTAAATCATTTACTCACTGCATTTCATTGTCCGTAACGTGGGTCTAATAGAAGATCCCCAAAGAGGTCTGGAGCCAGTTGATTCAGCAACGCCTTTCAAAACCCGACTGTGTTCGACGGGTAAGGAGTTGCTTTTTCTTTTTCTTCACTTTTATTTCTTTTGTAATTAATTTAGAAAAAAAGGACACTGCATGTGTTTTACTCAACCTGTCGAAAACGTGAAAAATGAAACAAGCCAGTGAGAGAAACATATTTTCATCCTGAACTTGCACGTAACCTCCACGTTTTGAACCGTGTGTAATGTTTACAAGCGTGATGCCCAAATAATTTGTCATATTTTTTTCTTTATCTACACTCAACCTTCTATGATAAATAATTAGACGTGTGTTTCTCCGCCTCCCTTGAGGACTGCTGGGATGGGTCTCGGGGAATGCAAGACTGCTGGTGAGAGTTCTCGGAGAAAGGCTTTCATCGCCAGCAGGCCCCTCACCGGCTGCCAGTTACATGTGATCTCAGCACTAATGCCACTTAAGAACCTCACCGCTGAGGTGTCCGTTCACGTTCACTCTCAGATCTCACACCTTTTGATTCCTCCTTTCATCTTTCAGTCAAATCACACAATCAATCACGGACTCCCTGATCGTGTCTTTTTCTGAAGTGTCAGTTTCTCCCGTGCAGCCGCACGGAGGAATATGTAAATCATCCGACTCCAAAAAAACATCTTCTTTTATGCCTCGCTAAACTCCGCAAATGGCTTTACTCAGCCACGAATCCCATCTCGAAACTTTTTTCTGTTTGGCATCCTTTAACTTTCACCTTTTAATCTCAGTAGTTTGTGATTAGCGACTCCTTTGAATCTAGTAATGGATGTTTATCCCTTCAGGCAAACTGTCTGATAGTATTTATCTGGTTATTTAATTATTTTCCTTCCTGACTGATCTGCATATGAGCAGAGGATTGAGGTAGAGTTTTCCCTCTGTAGATTTAGACACCTGACAAAGCATCTCTGGCTCACCATGAGGAGCCTTCATCTCATGGTCTTTTGCTTCGCACACACTTAAATGGGCCAAAGAATGGAATGATTGACATGTCACATCACCACTGGAGCCTAGACAGCTAAGCTTAATTGCTCTGCCACTGATGCCTGCGCGTGTGTGTGTGTGTGTGCGCTTGTCTACCTGTTTTTCCAAATTAAGCAACAATGAATGTTAATCATGCCTAATCTAGGTCATCTAGTTCATCTCCGCCTGTCACTGCTTCTCAAGCTGTCTTAATTCTTTCTCTCTCGTTCCCTCATGAGGCTGCTGTTTGTAAAACTTTAGACTTGTACTCTTGTGGAAAATCAGGAGAGGGAGCATAGGTAATGAATAGCGATTTAAAGTAAAATGTCAATTTAATGAGTGCCTTTCAGTCCTGAAAAAAAAAAAAAGATGGACCCTAAAGTAAATGAGCAAAAAAAGAAGGAAAGAAAGAAAGAAAGATCATGGGGTGCGTGTCACAGTCATCCGGATCCCTAATGAGGCTTCCAAATAAAGTTATGCTGTTTGAATTTGCATAGTGTCTGTAATTCTATTTTGAGGGAGAAAGAAGGAATCTAAAGGAAAGTTTGCAAATGAAATATTCATAACTTTTTGAGAGCAGACAATGCAAATAATGCTTAACGGAGTTGTTTTATTTGAAAATATAATCATATGGTTCAATTGAACAGCAATAAAAGATTTAAGGCAATTGTACACTATGATTCAAATGTTTGGGGTGGGGATTTGGAAATATTTTTTATTTAAACACTAAATACTGTAAAAACAGTGATATTGTGAAATATTATTACAATTTAAAATAACTCTTCTATTTCAATATATTTTAAAATGTAGTTTAATAAAATTGAACAACATTTGTTTGCAAATGTTCGCTTTTGATCAGTTTATTGCACCCTTCCTGACTTAACTTAAACTGTAGTGTATATAATATGTATGTGCACATAGTTTTTAGTAGTTTTTGAATTGATTTTCTATATAGACTCTCTCGATCTTGTCGCTTTGACTGCTGTGACATGTCTAACGGTTTCTTCAGTGTTTTGCATTATGAGTGCTGTGTTAAAGATGCCAAGTTAAAGGAATTCCTTGACCCGGGTTCAGTTGTTCATTTTATTTTATTTTAAAACTAAAGCATCATTAAAGAGAACCAGTGGTTAACAGATAGGTGGACAGCTAATTGAGATCTAATTGTTAAAGTCAAGTGGAGTGTTTTGCAGCCGCTCCTGCTGTCATATTGTCTGTCTGTTGTGTGGGGGGAGCTGTGTGTTGGGGTCTGTGAGTGACATGTCGGCCCGCTGCTTCTGCTCCCCTGCCTTGCCTGCTGTTGGGCTGGCTGGTGACATCTGCTCCACGCATGTCCCTCCTGTGATAGCTGGCCTCACTGCAGATGTTCCAGTCCTGGGGTCTCTGTCTGAGCACGCTGCTACTGCACCACGGCCCCTTTTGATGTGGGGATGAAACGGAATGGAGCAAGTCGCAGTGGGGCTGTGTTCAGATGTATGTGTGGGAGGTAATGTGTGCATAGAGCGTATGTGTGCACTCTGGAGTTTGACTGAAGCAAGTTTGGACTCTACCTGGGTTTCCTTGTCATCAGGCCTCTGAACATACAGATATATTATAATAACTATCATTTCATTATGCTCTTCTAGAAATGAAGAAGAGACACCACACTACTGACATTTGTCATTCAAGAGGCTGGAGTTTGCTCAACATGCACCCTGTATTTTCCCTAGATTCATAGCAGTTAGATTGTGTAGGCTAGAGGCCTTTCATGCGTTGTGTGCGTCAGGCCCTGCTCATGGGCTTCCCAGCCACAGAGGCAATCAAATGCTTAATGGGAAAGTAAGTGGGAGGAAACTTGCGCGCTGAGATCAGGTGAAGCAAAGGATAGGTTTGCCGTTAAAGATCAAAGCCTGAAAAAACAAAGGCTCATATCAAACAGACACTCCAAACTCAGCAGCAAAAACCCACAGCTCCTCTGATAATACTTAGATCTATAAATGTTTGTTGCATATATTTATTTATTTTAAGATTATTCACTGCAGTAATAAGTTGGCCCCTAACAAGCACTTTTGGGAGATGGTTTCTTTGACTGTTCTTTATTTTGCCGCACCATTGCACAGCAAGCCTTGGGATTTAGGAGACTATTAGAGAGGAGGATTTTTTTTTTTTTTATGGATTTGCAGCTAATGAATGATATGCATGCGTTTCCTTTCTTCTTATGTTATTTTTATTGCTAAGTGAGAAGTGTGGAGAGGAGCCGGAGAATTGGGCACATTTTCAAGGTTTTTATGGATTTAACCCTCCATTTGCCTCCCTGCATGAGACCCCATATGGGCCAGTTTTACTCCTTATTCATACAACAATTTATACATTCATTATTTACACTGGTACAGGGCAGCAATTTAAATGAATTATTCATATAAAATTATTCATTCAAACACTATTAGTGTTTTTTAAAGTATTTTTCCAGGCAGGATATTGTTTTGCTTATATGAAAACTATTTTAAACAACAATTTAAGCACAGTAGCTGACCATGGGGAAAAGCAAGTGCATTTATAGAAGTGTAAACAGGAGAATTGTGTGTGTGTGTGTGGGGGTGTTTATTTAAGACAAAATGCAAGGTTTCAGCTGTGTTCGTGTGTCGGCATTGTCTGTCGCTTGCAAATTTGGTGTCATCACTTCACAGTTTTATTATTGTTTAAAGCAAATTGTTTGTACCTTTTCAAGTGTGCATAACGTGCATTGTATTTCCAGGGCTGGGTTTTGGAAGCCATTCCCAAGACGCAAGAAGAGGCACTAAGTCTGCAAGAAGCAGGCATCACCCCAGATCATGTTGGTTAGTGGAGTGTTGTCCAAACACTTTGTTGTTCCCAACTGAAAAGCAAGAGATTTGAATCAGGACTCGATAATGAGACCGACCAAATATCTCTCTGGGACTCACTATCACTCCCCAGAGAACGTGTCAAACTCTAGTGCTTTCTTTTAACTCTTTCCTCGCAGTGATGCTGGAAGCTCCTGACGTCGTTCTGATTGAAAGGAGCGCGGGCAAGAGGATAGACCCTGTCTCAGGAGGTAATGTCGGTATGATCATTACACATTTCTTAGTTCAGAGAGTGGGACTGCGAGACAGGCAGCTAACATGCACAATTGTTTGAATGCATATCTGTGGACCTTGACAGCGCTCCACTTGTTTGCCGAATCCAAATCGGGCCTGTGTGTCCTCAGGGTTTCAGAAAGCCCAGCTGTAATGAACAAAAGCCAGAGCTCCCTGCAGATTTATGATGGTGTGGATGCACCATTTCCACATAATTGCCATTTTTCCTTTTGTTTATGTATGATCCTTGTTTATGAATCTTTTTCAGGACATTCGCTGTCAAAATAAATTCTTTGGAAAATGTTTTTTTTTTGCTTTAAATATATATATTTTACTTAATCTAATTTTACCTCAGCACATATATCCTGGAGTATAAATCATATCTGATGGCCTTTCCCACATGTTTTCTTTCCATGTCTTAGATGTATATCACGTCACCTTCATGTGGCCTGAAAGTGAAGAGGTTGCACAGCGTTTAGAAACACCCAAGACACTGATGCCTGCTGATCTTATAGCAAAAAAGCTGCAGAAATACCACACAGAAGCTCATGCTCTGAGGCGCACCTACCACAGCTGCCTGAAGACCATCAATGCTGACCAGCCCCATGTAGACGTTTACTCTCAAGGTAAACTTCACCATACTTTTATCAAAAATGGAAAATTCTGCCATTTACCCACCCCTCATGTTGTTCCAAAACGGCATGTTTTTCTTTTACGGAACTCAAATGAAGATATGTTGAAGTCTTCTTTTATGTTCTAAAAACGTCATACAGTTTTGGAACAGCATTAAAGTGAATAATTGATGACAGCATTTTCATTTTTGGCTGTACTATCGCTTTAAATTAATGTTTACAAATATTCTTGTCAAGCTACTGACTTTGTATTTTTAATGTTATCATTATCAGCCCGATAAGAAAATTTGGCCGATATATTAAAGTAAATATATAATGGATAATTTCCTTCAGCTGAGACACTTCAGATTCAACACAATGTTTTTTTTTTTTGCTTGAAATATGATGGGAAAAGGGAAAAAACAGTCAAGTGCAACATGTGCAGCGCAAGTCTGTCATACAAATGACATAAAATTATGATAACATTATAATCGTGTGTTTGGGACATTATATGAAGAGTTCAGATGCAAAAGCCTCTAAGTGCCATTTGAAATTTTCTTCTAGAATAATCATTTTTATCAAGCTTGTATATTTAAGTTCAGTAATTTCACTTAAATGGCAATGATAATTACCTATTAACTGTTATTTAAGTGAAATTACTGAACTTAAATATACAAGTTTGATAAAAATCATCATTAAAGAAGAAAATTTCAAATGGCATTTAGAGGCTTTTGCATCTGAACTCTTCATATAACAATTTTGATTTAGATTTGTTGGCCAATCGGTTATCGGCTTTCAAATATAAATTTATCGGTTATCGGTATCGGCCAAACTTTTCATATTGGTGCATCCCTTGGGTGCTCATTTAATCAAGCCATTTGAATTCAAAACATAGGCTGCATTTCTAAAAATGTGTGCAGGTTAGACTTAGGTAGGTCACCGAGTTACAATTAGAGCTTTTCAAACATTTCTCCTAATATCACCTACTGCGATGAACAGACATCTACCGCCCCTATTGGTCGGAGGTCAGTAGTGAAGCGGGTGCGTACAGAGGCTGTGATTGACCTGCTTGTCAGGCACTCTTCCAGTTGAGGAGGTTGCCTCAGGCACCTCTGCAGGCACAGACTATCCCATGAGAACCTGGTCAGGGATGAGCGGTCCTCGCCAATTACATTAAAACCATCTGAATCCAACCTGTCTAAATATTATATCGCTCAACTTGACAAAATAATTTTGTCACTTCCCCTCCTTTAGTCGTGAGGTAGAGCTAGGCAGTGAATATTTAAACTGCTCTTTGCATACATCACTTTGACTGTAGCATTAGGCAGCTTAGCAGCATTTTGTGAAATTCATACCATAGATATAGATGCATATTTATCATAGGAATGAGTATGCATGGAACTGATAGCCAGTCATTGTATATTATGGGCATTTTTAGAAATGTTATAAACTGACCTCTGTCTATCACTATTACAATATTTGGCCAGCTCAAGCTACATAAACATGAGCTGGGAGAAATTCATTTCCAATTTTGGACTGGTTTCTTTCCATTTCTCGCTTTCTCGTAGAAATTTGGCTTATCTGGGGAGAAATAAAGGCTAATTTAGTCTCATGGCACATTAGTATTAAAGCCAAAATGCTCTGTTGAGTTACCTATCAAGGAAGCGATCCTCCAGCCTAATGGTTTTGCGCTGTGGCCTTGATTTGTAAATTGTATACTGTAGGACAGTGCATGCCTAATCTTAACTTAACTGCACCTGATTTTCTTGATATGCCTAAATGGAGGACATTAAATAAATATTTGAGATAAACTCTGCCATAAAACATTCATAAACCCATACTGAGGAGCAAACAGCAATAAGGCTGTCATCTTAAATCTAGTTTAGTGCTAATTCGGCATGCGGTTTGATTGCAACGTTGCTAGTTTCCCCCTGACTTAGCCTTTTAGCGCATTAACATGTTTCGCATATTAAGCATTTATCATGTTGTTGTATAACAATTAGCAGCATAAAGGGCTTGATGAGAGGAACTCATTAGTTATGATTAGGCTGTTGTTAATCATTGCACATTAGAATGGCGGCTCAGCGCAGGTTCCAGACAAACAGCATTGTTGTGAGTGAAACCCAACTGCAAACAGATGGCTTCGATGTGGATGTCACACTACAAGCAAATGCCCCCGTGGACATGAAAGGAAACCTCTGATGATTAATTAATCAAGTGGCTTTATATTCAGTTTAGTGGCAATCTCTGTTTATGATCTGAGCGAATAGGCTGTCACCAGCCTCACAAATGTGCTCTATTATCTTACTCCATTAAATATTCAATATAGTCTACCTGTGCCTGCATTGTGTTGTTTTGTATTAAAGTATTGCACGGTGTGAACATAGGGTTGAAGAAAATTACTTTTAATCTGTGTTGTTTGATTGCACAAACAAAAATGTTTTGCAATGCATATGTTACAAAAATGTTTTTGGATCATTTAAAATGCTTTCTATTTTTTAAAGAATCCTGAAAAGAAAGATTTCAACAATATTAAGCAGCGCAACTGAGTTCAATATTGATGATAATATGATTGATAATTATTAATAATAGTATTAATAATACACCAAATCAGCATATTATTATAATGTGACACTGAAGACTGGAGTAATGGCTAAAGAAAATTCAGAATTGCCATAATGCCATCACAGGAAAAAATCACATTTTTTAAATTGTTCATAATATGGCTGTATTTTGGTTTAATAAATGCAGCCTTGTTGAGAGGCTTATCATTAAAAACAAAAACATCAAAAAACGTACTGACTCCAAAATTTAACGATAGCTACATTTAAATATCACCTTGAACAAGAGATTTTAATTGGTCTAATTTATTCACTGAAAATGTATTTATCTAAGCAGTGCTGCACTTTGTTACATATCACTTACAATATCTCCTTCATTCCTTTATGGTTATTTTGTTTTTATACTGCAGTGCTGAACTATGTTCAGACTCCACGTCACTCTGCTTCACCCTACACTCCCAGAATCCTACTGTTGGGACCCCCAGGTTCAGGAAAGAGTCTTCAGGCAAAAAAAATTGCTCAGAAATATGGCATTGTCAACAGTAAGCTCCTCCTCAACTCTACATCTTATGTTAATTCTTATAAAATAATTCATAATAAGACAGTTTAAAATGGTAGTTTAGCATTTGAATGAATCATTACACAGCTTTTTCCATACATTGACTGTTTATAGTGACCAAGCTCCAAAAAGGACACAAAAACACCAAAAATAGTGCACCGTTTTTGAATCTGGATGTAAGGAAAAAAATAACAGTGCAAGGGTTTAGAATAAATCATCTTTTTATATATTTTTGAGTGAACTATTGTCGATAGTAGTTTGTTGTTAACTTAAAAGTATTATTATTGTTGTTTATTACTTTCTTCTGTTCTTTCCCACATCTCTGTTGCTGTAGTTTGTTGTGGTGAGTTTCTGAAGGCTGTGTCAGCTGATGAGAACCATATGGGGGAGCTCATTAAACCCTACCTGGAGTCAGAACAGCAAGGTATGTCTCCTTACCTCCTCTATACCTACTGCCAAATGGGTCAATCACACAGAACAAGTCAAACCCCAGTCTGTAAGATGCAGAGTTATGTTTCCTGCTTTTGACCAGATAATTGGAACCCCCCCCCCCCAACACACACACACACACACACACACACACCTCATAGTCAGAACGTGAGTCCGCTTAGTGAACATGTTGTGATATTTTCACAAATTCACACATATATGATATTGGTTTATGATTCACATTTATGAAATTGGTAGTGCAAATGATTATCATATAACGTGGACTACGTAATTTTGCAGAAATCTTTGGTTACTTTCTGGACGTCTAAACAAAATCACAGTACTTGCTGGCTTCTTACCCTATAGGTTTTGCATCTACTGTAAGTAGACAACCATTTTTTATATAGTTAGAACACACCATAATGCTCTGGTTGTCTTGACTTTCTGTGATCTTTCATTCATCCTCATCATTGTTATTCCCTTCTCATCTCACACGCTCTCTGTGTCCTAACACCTCTCTGTTCTAAATCCCTCAGAGACCAGTAAATATATATAGATATATAGTCCCACTCCTCAGAGAATGCATTCAGCCATTGGGACTGCCAATCACTACCTTTATCACCGCTCTGGCCCAAGTCTCTCGCCTTGAGCAAGTTTTCATTAATTTAATAAAGATTCTCAAGGGATACAAAGCACAGAGTGTAAGCGTGCATTGTGTGTGTGTGTGTGCGAGTTTTAAATAAATATTTAGCCTTTTCATTGATAGGGAAAAAATGGGGAGAAGATGGAGATTGGGACTTGGAATGACGCAAGCCTGATTTAAACTTGTATCGCCTAGATAAGCACCATGTCATGTCTTTATTTCACATCCTTAGCTTTAGATCAATAGTTTACCCAAAAATGTACTTTCTGCCATCATTTACTCGCCTTAAGCTCATGGTGGTCCAAACCTGACTTTTTTGCTTCTGTGTAACTCAAAAGAAGTCAGTGGGGTCCAAACAACTTTAGCCTTTATTGAAAGAAAATTAATATTCAGTTTTGGGTGGGTTTAAGAATTGAATCTCAATTCAGCCAGATGTTGTTTTACCAGTTGCGCCACACTTACAAAAAAATCTTGACTTGAATCAAAAGCTAAAAAGGATAACACTCTGAGGAAAAAAAACTTTCATTATCAATGTAATGTTATGTAGAATAGAATTACATTGCGCATTATAGAAAACAGGATATAATTTATAATAAACAGGAAGAAAACAGCTGCAATATATAATTATTATATCATATTATAATTTATGGATAACTGTAACTAACATTATTAAAACAGATCCTGAGTTCTTGTACATTGGAACACATTTCAACATTACATTAAAACTTTGAAACATGATATTTCTTTAACATTCAGAGTAGAGCAAATTTTTGTCCATGAATTCTCTATTAAGCGTGATCCCATGTTTGTGATTTATTAATGAAAGTTATTATAAAGTGCCATCAATTCATATGGAATTCTGTGTAAATACAACCTATAATGGCTCATGCTGAAATCTTGATTGTTAACTGAACTTTTTTTTAATGATCCATCTACCCAAGTACACATGCTCACCCATTGTGATTGTCATATCTGTCAGAGTATGTTAAGTATCTTTTCAGCTGTAGCAGTATCTGTCACGTGCGACTTGTGTTCGTAAATTCATGTTGCGTGTTTGTTGAAGTAGCAATGTGTGCATAAGAAATGCTATGTAAATGTTTTGTTAGCTCGTATTTCATTGCCTTGTTGAACAGGGCTTCGGTATCCAGGGAGAGGGGGGGGTTTTGTGCCTTCTCTCTCTTCCCTTTGCTTTTCTCCCCCCTTTCCCTGCGACTGAGAATTTGAGGCAGAGAGCTTGCCTAAATAATTTACAAGTTGATTAATGGCCTCACAGGGGTATAATTAGGTGATGGAGAGATGGTGGCTAGTGTAACCAGTACAGTGCTTCTGGGATTTGAGAAGCCAGATTATTAAGCAAACCAAAAAAAAAAAAAAAGAGTCTTAGCAGAAGTGAAGAAGAGGAAAGAAAGAAAGAAGAGGAAGCCTCTCCAGGCTGCCTGATGTTTGAAGCAGGGCTGCAGAGATAGGCAAGAGGCTGTGCGTGTTTGATGTGGAAATTGGACAGTTTGAAACCGTCGACTTTAATTTTTCACCAGCTGCAGGGACCCCCCTGGGTGCCAGCTTGCGTTCCTTAAAGAATGCTGTTCTATTTTCTCTTTACCCTCATTATTTGTTTGTCCTCCGCGCCACTCTCGTTAGTTATCCCGCTGCATTACAAACGCTACCCTTCTCTACCGCACTGTCCGTCAGTTTTAAGAGGTACCATCAACCCCTTAAACAATTCGCTCTTGTTGCCTGTCAGCCAGCAATTGACTGCTTTTGTACTCTGAGAGGGACCCGTGAAATATCTTCAAAAGACAAAATGTACATACATGAATTTAAATGACACCGTGTCTGCTAATTATTTATCACCTCACATCTGAATAAACCACCTTGATTTGATACTGATACAAACAAAAGGCACGTCCTTGACAATACTGTTTGATGATGAGATCACTGATGCTTTGTATGGAGATGATGTTGTTTTAGTTCTGCTCAGACCATCTCCTTTAATCGAATCTTCTTAATGGGGCGCTCTAGATTGCCTCCACGCAGTTTAAGTGAAATATTAATTTCCTTTCCTGTCCACCTCTGCTCATGTGTTTTTAAATCAGATCAAATTTACTGTTTATTTGGGGTATTAAACTCTTAAAACGGTGTCCTATAACAACAACTTTCATATTTCAAAAAGTTTTCGTACTGTTTTTTTTTTCTTCTTTTTTTATAAAGTCTTCTTCACACTACCTGGAAAAAAGTAAACAAATGAAAGGCCTTTCTCACGTCCGTTAGATCTATAACACTGTGATCTCGCGTCCTGCAGGGGGGAACGTATTATTTCAAACAAAATGCTAAGCAGGTATGTTTGTGTGCGTGTCTCGTGGGGTAACCCCCTCTGAACACCGTGTTTACATTATATAGGACGAGTGTCATTCAAAGGACACAGCAAGTTGATTTTCAGGAGTCTGAACCTCTTGGTTCTCGAAGTTTGCCTTAATGAGATTTCTCTTCTACGGTTTGCATTTTTGTGTTTCTGTCATGTAGTTAGGAAAAAAAACCCACAACAAATGAATAAATAGATGATAACTGTATCGTAATATTGCTGTATTTATGTTTAATCCATACAGTGCCATCCAGTATAGTCCTGCGGATCCTTACAGAGAGACTGAGCAGGATGGACTGTACCACACGAGGCTGGGTGCTCCATGGATTTCCTCAAGATGTGGAGCAGGCAGAAAAACTCCAAGAGTCTAATTTCCTACCAAACAGGTATATCAGTCACTATAAACTTATTTAAATGTCTGTAAATGTTGAAACTCAGCATGTTAACTACCAAAGGGTACATGACTGCACAGGGGTCTAAACTATTATCACAATGATTTGTTACAGTGGTTTCTTTTTTTTTCTTGTGTATCCTTCAATGAATATCTTTTGAAATAGAAAGTCAAAAGAACAGCATTTATTTGAAATATAACTTTTCATAACAATGTGATTATTGTTACAAATACAATGATCAGTCCTTGATGAATTAAAAATTAAATCAATTCTTACTATTTTTTAATGGTAGTTTGCATCACAATATGCATGCATGGCATTTTTGAAAACAAGGAAGTGCACTATATTTGAAAGCAAGTGTGCCATACTTTGAGAACCACTTTTTTACATTCAATTCATCTTTCCATTCCTATATCGATTTCAACCTATGCATCATCTATCACTGTATTCCCATTCATTGACCTGTCAAACACTTTAGACCAGTGACAGAGAGAGATGTAAACACTGGAGTTTAGCTATAATGAAAACAAAATTTTCTAAACTGCTCTGGGATTTTTTTAGTAATTATTTGTGATTTGCATCTCCTCAGCTATCCTAAATAGTGAGTGTAACTGCAGGGCTCAGATTGCCCTCTCAGATTACCCTTAACTCAACTGCCCTGGAGGATCTGATGGCACTTAGATTATACAACCTGTCCTCTGTGTGTGTCCCCTCATCAGAGAGCTCACTTTGAGGGTTAGGTCATCAGTGAAAATAGTGTGTCCCAATTCTGTCTCCTTTGACACAGAAACAAGAGCAGGAGTGCACAAATCTGTGCAGTAACCAGTGTTGGGGAAAGTTACTTTGAAAAGTAATGCATTAATATTATGTTACTCCCTTAAAAAGTAACTAATTGCTTTAATTAGAAAAATGGGCTGGGCTGACCAATAACAAAAAAAGTTATAGTTTTGGGCAAATGTTCTTTATTTTAAGTTCTATATTTTGGTCAAAGTGTAAATAATAAGGCTGAAGGAAATGCAAATTCACGTGTGTACAGTAGAGGGCGCAGCTCAAACAATCCTTTCTGTTTAACTGAATCATTGAAGGTCAGCAGCAAGTACAACATTGGTCAACAAAGTGAGATTAAATGTATAAAATATTGGTTTCATTTAACATATTTAATTTTTGGTGGTTTGCATAGTATTCTGATTAAGTATTTCACTGATTTCGTTCATTTTGAGTATTTCTGAATCGTTTTTTTCTTCCTTTTGCCAATGAGATAAGTAAATAATGACATTTAGTCTAGAACTACAATAACCATCAATTTACTCACAATTTCTCTCAACATGAGGACAGAAGAGTTTTGTTGTAAATTTAAATTCCCCTGTAGTCAATAATTGTATCCCTTAAAACTATATTTGATCAACAAAATATTTATTTTTATATTAAAAAAATTTTCCGTGAAAGATTTTCCAGTTTTCGTGAAAAAAATGGCATGCCTTAAGATAGCTTGATGTAACACCCTCTACACCCAATTGCCTCATTTCTATATGTGGTTCTATGAATATGCAAATTGGCCCCACCTCCACTCACTCACACCAGCTCAAAGATCCACTCTAATTGACTTGAGTGGTTACAAGGTAGTTTGTGATGTCAGAAACACAGTTTCTGCAGTTTTAAGGAGAAAATTATTAGCAATGGTGTTGACTTTTGAATTTACACGCATGGATTGTCTTAAAAACACCATATATACATAAACAACATTAAAAGCTTGATTTTCACCACAGGGGGACTTTAAAAGTAATCCGTTTACCAGTTACTTGGAAAAAAAGTACTCTGATTATGTAAGGAATGCATTACACCCAACACTGGCAGTAACATTTATTAAAAATATACTTGTTCACTGCAGGGCCTGCTTTTCAACCTGTCTCTAATTATGATTTCTCATCATATTTAGTAAGATTTGATCCCAGATGTCAGCAAGCAGACATGGTGTCCACTTTCCTCGCCGCTTCAGCATATAAAGGCCTTATTTCCTCCATTAACAGCCCCTGTTGTTTGGGCTAATGGCAGGAGACCTCATTTACATAGCATTAGCGTAATTGATTCGAAGGCCCGCGGTTAGCCTGGCCCTGAAACAATGGGGAGATAATGTTTCAGATGGGGCTGATGATGGCCCGATGGCGGCGCTGTACCTGACAGCTTTATTAATTAACAGCTCTCTGGTTACCAGGCTTTAGTGAGGATGAATAAGTCAGCTCCTCCTGGAGCAGTGCCAGGGCATGGGCATTTAATAGTTGTCATTGGCAGAAGAGATTGGGGATAGAGTGTGGATCCCTTTACCCATTTCCTGAAAGGGCTCCATTAACAGAGAGTCTCTGATTGCGATGAGTGCCAAGACGATGTTGTTTCTAGAGGGCTGTGGCATGAAGTAGCAGTTTCAGAGTAGGTTTAGAGTTGACAATACCATTCAAATCCAACCTGGTTTAGATCAGGTTTAGTGGGCTCACAACACTCCATATAAAGATTCTCTGTCAACTCAGGGTTTGATCCAGAGTTTGTGATTAGCGCGAGGACCTGAAAGTGTGACGTGCAGCGAACAGAATAGCCAATCACACGGAACATGGAGAGCATCAGTTTGATTGACTTCTCAAGAGAGAGCCGGTGCAATTCACTTCTCTGGTGAAGATTAAGAGATCGTTATTAAATATAATATGAATTTTAAATGCATTTACAAGGCAAAAATAAACACTGCTGCTGCTGCCTAAGTTTGATAAGGTCGCTGAAAGAATATATCTGACTCAATGCTAGTGAATCAACTGATTTTGACTAATAAGCATTTATATAGGCTCAAAAAGAGCTAAAAAGGAAACATGTAAGCTTTAAAAGCTTTATATGTACAGTTGTGAAGCTTGAAATATGTATATAATTATATTAATTTAAATGCAAAATTCAATATTTGGCAATTCATATAAATATATGTAATTAGCAGCAAAAGATAGGCAATTTTGTCAATGTAAACTGCTTTAATTTGAAGCCAGAGATACAGTAGTAGTGGCTTTATTGTATCAGATTTTGCTCACAACTGATTGGTCCTTTTTCGGTTTGCGATCTCTATAACCCAGAATAAAACCTGCTCTGGTTTTATTGTATTTTGCTTCATGTTGTTTAAATAAACATACAGTAATGATGACCTGTTTGCCTTGCTAAAGTTGTAGTTGCAGAGTAGTGGCTGTCTGTTCCAGTTAGTGGCATAGTCTTTTGTCATGTAAAGGAAGTTACCTGATCCATGAAAGACGAAAGAGGAAGAAAAGGAAAAAGGACGCTCGCTAATGAAGTTACCTCATCAGATAAATGAAGATGCCTTTGCTCTGGTTTCTCGTGCTGCAATCATCCGATCCTCTTTCAAAAGCTGATCAGTCAGTTAGCCATGGATGTATGACACTTTGTTAAGAAGGAAATCTAAAATAATTATCTATTGTTATCTACAGCAAAGTTTGAGCCAGTGGTATTCAACCTTTTTGACAATATTTGAAGATTTTTTCTGAAGATTTGTGAAGGATTTCTAAAAAAATATATATTATTTTTACTCCCAATTTTTAACAATAAAATATTTTAGATCTTGAAAATAACTATAAATAACTATATAACTATATAAATGTATATTCATCATTAAAAATGCCCATGGAGTTATAAGATTTTGTTCATTTTCAGGTCTAGAAATGGCCATTTTTAGCCTAATTTCAATTTCTATCCAAATGATTCACTGAAAGGATCTGAATTAAAAGAATGATTCTTTTATGAATCAGACATTCCTATTCACTCATGACTAGGGCAGATGTCATGATTTGCAAACAATTTGTTATCTAAAAATGGGCATCTAAAAATGCCCATGGAGATTTTGTTCATTTTCAGGTGTAGAAATAACCATTTTGAAATTAGGCTGATTACAGTAACTAAGCTATTTAAAATTAGCATATTTTAAATTAATGCTTGTTTTCTCTTATTTCAAATAATTTTAATTCATTTAATTCTTAAGGCTACTTTTTTGGAGTTTGCTGAGGCCTGGTTGTATGAGGCCCTGAGGCCAACTTTTATGACTTTTTAGGTAAATATCTTGGCCACTTTTTTCATATAATGAAATTAAAATGACCAAAAGAACCATAAAAGTATTATAAATTGGTCTTTACGGCTATAGTTCAAAACTTCTGAAGCTGTGCGGTAGATTTCCGTGAGGAACAAAAATGTGTTATCCTTTGCAAATCATGACATCTGCCCTAGTCATGAGTGAACAGGAATGTCTGATTCATTAAAGAGTCATTCTTTTAATTCAGATCCTTTCAGTGAATCATTTGATCCAGTTTAATAAACAGGTCTCAATGATTCATTCATGAATCAAACCAATACGGTTCTTCTCTTTGGTCTGTTTCATAAAAAAATTATTGTTTGACTTCAAAAGACCTGAAATATAGAACATAGGCCATATGGACCAATTTGATGCCTGGTGCTTATTTTGTCATAAAGTTTGACCACCCTTATTCATTTTTACTTTCAAGGAAAGGTAGCATAATACCTGAGCTTCTCTTTGGACCCGTGTCCAAACCCCTCATACATGATCATTCTCAGACTGTACAGGTCATTTTTACTTTGCTAGTTTCACTGGTCTCTCTCCCACCCCTCCTACCAGTCTTTAACTACTCTCCAGTTTGGCTAGTCATCAGCCTCTTACAGCCTTGACACACTTGCAAACAATCAGAGTCTTTGGAAGCTCTGAAATATGCATGGCTACCTGTGACAGGTAGATAAAGAAGAGCAATTAGCCATGTAATCTAAGAGTCTGGCCCATTTACCTGCTCTCGTCCCATCCTAGCCTTGCCTGCCCTACCCCCCCCCCCCCACCCCCCCTCTCTTTCTCTCTCTTTCCACTTGCATATAGCTCTTGCTCTCTATTAGTAAAATATATTTCATGTGTCCGCTCCCCATCAAATCAAGCAACACTTCCTCTGATTGGCTTATAAATTATACAGCAGGGGCAGCATTACAATTTAATCAGTGGTAAACATTGCCGTGGCCACCTGTAAAGAATCTTTCCCTCATTAATTTCTTAATTTGGAGAGATAGAAAGGGAGGCAGAGGGGCCGAGGGGAGCGGCTCCGAGAGATCGGATAGACAGGCAGAGACCTTCTTGGATCACTTCAGCTCAGCGAGTAAACTGAAGAACAAAGGGGTCAAAGGTTACCACCATCTACTTAATGTATACCGTATACCAGTGGAAGAATAGAAACTGCATTCGCGCACACGCACGTACTGACGTTGGGATGTGCTAAGACTAGCGCGATTCAGGATCATTTGTAGCAGCTGAGGACTGTCAGGCTCTTGTTATCTGCCTTGTTTTAGTCAGTCATTTGTTAGAGGATCTCAAGCTGTCATGTAAGAAACATCTAATGTAAATCAATTCATCTTGTACAGCTCCCCCCCCCCCCCACAAAAAGTGGGGGAAAGAGAAGAAAGACAAACACAAGCCCCTACCCTCCCACCCTCCCATCCTCCAGCCCCAGACACAACGCACCATCCTTTTGCTCCTCCAGATTTATAAATATTTCATGAGGAAGCATAAATATTAATTCTAATAGCTTTGCAGAGTAGTTATTATTTCTTTTTTAAGACAAATATTCATTAAAAATTGAGAGAAACCTTTTTCTGAAACGATTAAACCTACACACACACGCACACACATTATTATGGCTCTTAAACACTTCAAATATCTAGCATTTTCAGTCCAGACTAATAGTCAGTTAAAGCGCCATGTCTCCTTTGTCCATTTCAGAAGGCCCCGTGGTTCACAGTGGTACTGAGAGCCAGGAACACAAAGACATTTAAATATTTGATCAAAAGAAAAGCACCAACTTAGATCTCTTTCTCCCTTTTCCCTTAGTTTCTCAACCCCTTTTGGTGGAAAAGGAGGCCTTATGATGTACAATTCCTGTTTGTCTTTATCTATACTGTAGCTTGAATTGGTCCAAAATCGCATCTCACCCCAATCTCAGTCTGTGTAAAATGTTTAGGTGGCTAAAGATTAAATAATGTGGACGAGGCTGTGAGGTTCCTGTCCTCTGGAGGCTTGGATTAAATCATTTGGGATAAGACTGGCATGTAAACCCCCCCACCTGACCACACCATTAGGCCCACTTTGTGTCTGGACAATGTCAAAACACAATGACCCCTGGGTAGAAACCCTAACATTCCTCTGTTGAAGTCCTCTTATGACCCAGGAGAGTATCCCTGTTTTCCATTATTTTCTTCATCATTTATTTAGCTCTAATACCAGGCAATTATGATGATTTCTCTTTGAATGCTAGATAGAGTCTATATGTAATAGAATAATGGATTGATATGGTTTTCGCATGACATGTTATGATTTCTGAAGACAATTTGAGAATCATAATGAGTTTGACGATTCCAGTTGCTCTTACAATTCTGGTTCTGCTAAAGGTACGCTGTTGTTCAAATGTTTGGGGTTTGGACATTTTTTGTAATAAATGATTTTGAAGTCTCTTAAGCTTAACTAGGCTGCATTTATGTGGTCTATGTGTTTATGTGTTTTATTTATCTATTTACGTGTTTTCTATTTTAATATATTTTAAAATGTAATGTATTTTTGTGATGGCAAAGCTAGATTGTCAGAAATCATTCTAATATGCTGATTTGCTGCTTAAGAAACTTTTCTTCTCTTTATTAAAGCTGTAGTGCTTCTTCTTATTTTATGGAAATCGTGGTGCACTTTTTCCGGATTCTTTGATGAATATAATGTTTAAAGGAACTGAATTTATTTGAAATAAAAAAAAAAAACTTTTTTAACTTTTGTATTCATTTCTTACAAAGAAATAAGTCTTATTAATGCCAACCCTTTGAAAAATAGTGTATGTTTACACAGACCACTCTTTTGGCTGTTTTTGTTTTATTTTATAAAATTCCACTGACAAAACACATAACGTTGATCTTTAATTATATGACTGGTCTTACGCTTAGTTAAGCTATTTTGGTTGATTTTCTAAAAACAAAAAGTCATTTATTTGCGAGTCACATTATACTGATTGATTCATTAAAAATAACAGACTCACAAGAGTCATTGTTTTATTATTGGACTACACTGATCGCCTTTTATGTGTGTGGTATATAATATTTTTACCAAACAATATCTTTACTCAGGCGATTTGAGAGAATAACAGATATCATGACAGACTTCCACATGATCTCTGCCTCTGTCCCCTCTAGGGTCTTCTTCCTGGAGATGACTGATGACATTGCTATCCAGAGGGTAACACTTAGGAGTGTGGATCCTGTGACTGGAGAATGGTAAGAAGGACCTTCTGCTTAGCAAATTGTAAATTTGTATGTAAAGAAACCATTCCATCAGGTTCAACTAAAAGCATAAATGCATTCTGAATGTTGCGTTTGAACTCTGCAGGTATCACACAGTGAATAAACCCGCCCCTAGTCCAGAAGTGCAGGCCCGGCTTCGGTTTGACCCGAGAAATTCAGAGGCACGACTGCTAAGAAGGCTTAAGGAGTACTGGAGCCATGCAGTGGACCTGCAGGCTTTTTACCCACAGGCAGTGTATATCAATGCTGACCAGGACCCACACACCGTGTTTGAGTCACTGGAGAGTAGGCTAGTGGACCGACTACCCAAAGTCATGTCTAAACGAGAAACATGTGAGGGCTAATCCTCTTTAAACACTGTTAGAGGGATACTCCACCTAAAAAATTTAATTCTCTCACAATTTACACACTCTCATGCCTTCCCAGGTGTATCTGACTTTCATCTTTGGACCAAATATGGAGATTCAATCAATCTCTCTCTCTGGGTCCATATAATGCAAATGAATGGGTCCCTCAAAGTTTACGCTTCAAAACCTACATGAAACAAACACGACTGTAATCCATACGACTCAAGTGGATAAATCAATGTCTTCTGAAGTGAAACGATAGGTATGTAAGAAAAATATGAATATTTAAAACTTTTTATGCGATAAACCATTGCTTCTGGCCAAATGTCAATGCTTGGCATAACGTCAGCACGTTGTAAAACTCAAGAAGTCATGTGGAAACACAGATAACGTCACTTCTTGAGTTTCACAAACAATATTTGTGTCAAGCATGGACTCATATGACAGTTGACCATAAGCAATGATTTATAGTGTAAAAGTTTGGATCAGTTTTTTTTACACACACATATCGTTTTGCTTCAGAAGACAATGATTCATCCTCTGCCATTATGGATTAGCTTTAAGCATACACAGCTTTAATGTGAATTCTAGTTCTGTTTGTTGTGCTTTTATTTTTCTCCTGTCATTTGTACATCTGTACATCTGAAAGGCTACTTAATAAATTTCTTTTAAATTTGACTTTAGTTCTCTTTTCTTGGTCATAGTTATATCTTATATTTTAATGAACACTGACATGTCTCCAAATACATCATGGAAAAATACATTACTCAACTGATGTAGATGTACATGTACCCATTCTTGCCGTCTGAGTTAATGGGAGTGCATGGCACCTGGTAATTCGACGTATGATTAATTAACATAACAGGAAAAAGCAGTCTGGCCAGAGCCTTTGTGGTGGGCAGTATTAGTCCCACTTCAGTGGTCTCGTGCTCAAGAAACCAGTCGATGCTGCTTTGATTATTAAATTCCCTCTTCCTTTCTTTGAGGTCACTTGATGTTTCCCACAGGGAGGAAAGGAGTTAAGTACACTGGTTAGTGAAACATGTTAACAGGCTGATTTTTAAATTCCCCTCAGATAGTATGCTATGACAGGCAGACACTGACTTAATTAAAGCAGATGAGGTCCAGAATATGCATCTCCTCTGAATATGTAAACGCGAGGGCCAGTGCATATCCAAAGGGAGAGGAGGCTTCAAAAATGAAATGCGACTAAATGAGAAAGTATTCCCTGAGCTCTCTCTGGTTCAGTAGCACCCTAATATTTTTATACTCTAAAACAAAGACTGATTTTTAACAAAGGGTTTTTAACAATATGATTGCTCAACAGCACATCTTTACATTGTAAACTTCACACAGACGTACACTGTAAAACGTCTTGTCTTTTGCAAATAGCACATAGTTAGGGCTCGAGCACGGATGGTGTGAGGACCCTATTGTTTTTGCTCCATTTATTATTATTCTACTCCAAAGTGAATCGCTTTTTTGAGGGCCTAAACATGCTCGAAAGCTCAGGAAACTTTGCACACGCTTCTGAAGTGGTGAAAATGTATGTGTGATATGGGTTTCAGAATTGGGTGGGGCAAAATGGGTTAATTGCCCCCTCTATATTATTGCCCCGGCTCTACATTTCAAGTAAAGGTATGAAAATCGGTAAATACCTGTAATGACCCAATACCTACAAAACAGTCTCTTGGAGCATAGCCCTAAACACAACAGGAAGAGAGCTATTTTGAACTTCCTCTCTGATTTTTGTGCGGCCACCTGCTGGTAGCAGGAAGTGTGGCAAATACAAATTATCATCCTATATTTACGCACTGCCCACCTTTTTCCTAAAGCCACTGGGTGGTGGTGGCACGGGTGCGAGGGCCCTTTTCATCGGTGCTTGCAGCTTTAAAGGGATACTCCACTTTTTTGGAAATAGGCTCATTTTACCACTCCCCCAGGGTTAAACAGTTGAGTTTTACCGTTTTCGAATGTATTCTGCCGATTTTCTGATATTTAGAAGAATATCAGTAACCAGACAGTTTCTGGTCTCATTGACTTCCATAGTATATATTTTTCCTACTATGGAAGTCAATGAGACCAGGAACTGTCTGGTTACTGATATTCTTCTGAATATCAGAAAATTGGCTGAATGGATTAGAAAACGGTAAAACCCAACTTTTTAACCCTGGGGGAGTGGTAAAATGAGCCTATTTCCAAAAAAGTGGAGTATCCCTTTATTTCACAATTGTGACCCTTGACCACAAAACCAGTCACAATTTGTGGCATCAGCCAGTGATACATTGTATGGGTCAAAATTATCGACCAAGTTTATATTACCAAATTACCAAATATATTACCAAATAATGTCCTATCCTAACAAACCATACATCAATCGAAAGCTTATTTATTTGGATTTCAGATGATCTCAATAAATCAATAAATTCACTAAAATCAAAATGGGAGTTTTAACAAGAAACAGGCAAGTATTTTCCTAACACTGTACTAATTAAAAATAAGCTAAAGTAATAGAAGAAAGTAACTATGAAGAAGAGTAGAGAAAAGAGAAAACAATACAATAATTTTAATAAACATTATGGTAGAGGTTTAAGATAGGAGGTGTATCTTATAATATTTTAAACAGTGGTTTCAAACAGGAGTCCTCAGCAAACATCCTGCAGCCTAATTCTTAAAAGGATTTAAATAAAGTTATATGAAAATGCTAAAATAGACTTGTTCCTGAACAACGTTTATTTAAAAAAGTTTTTCTGAGAATTTATTAATCAAAACAAATTTGACAAAATTTTAAACAGCTCTTGTGGTTAATTATTTATTTCTATTCTTTAAAAAAAAGTTTGAAAACCAGCAGCTTATGTGAAAGGCATCAAATAGTGTGATGGACAAATCAACTATTTGAAAACATTGCTTTAGGCTTTAACCTGCGTAATGCAGTGGGACTTTTATTTTGGTAACGTCACTACCCGGAAATCTCCTCAGGTTGTGTGGACGGTGGTAAACACGTGTGAAACTTTACTCTGTAGATGTACTGCTGTTTATGTTCTGTTATTTAGTGTTTACAAGTTAACGTCACTCGCGTTTAGCTTGGAACTGATATCTCTGCTATTCAAACGAAAGATAATACTCCATTTAGCATTTTGTAAGAAGTCGGGTATCAGTGAGGATTTAGAATAGTTATTTAGGTACTAACGTTACACCACGTCTTAAAAAAAGTATCCTGCTTAACTTACTGACATGGCTGAGGACATGCTAATGCTCAACATATCCTCAGATCCCGTAACGTTTCACAGAAAGACAGATCGAAGTCATCTGACATCAGCAGAGAAATGGGCACAGGTGAGTCAGTCCTGCACCTTGTTTTCATTTTCACAAGTTCTGACAATACAGTTTCTGGAAAGAAACACACGTTTCTTTACAGCCTGATTGTGAAGTGCTGTACTGTCTGTATTGATGTTACAGAAAAAGCAAGAATCAAAGAGGAAGGCTGTCTTTGAGCCCCAAGAGAGCAACGCCTCCAAACAGAGGAAGATTAATCAAACTGGTCAACAGCACACACATAAGCAAAAGCTGCAAACCCCCAAAAGCCCCTCTCGGAGGAGTAATAGAGACACAGAGGAGAACGGAGACCAGAGTGAAATCACTGCAGCAAAGTCGCCATCAAAGGTGAAAACATTTCCAAAGAAAGCTCCCGAAGAGCATGGAGACCATGGCAGACCATTTATCAAGACATCGTCTCTCTTCAGAAACAACCCAGAGATCCCCGATGTCCTCAGGTAGATACAACGCCTTTTAGCTTGTGTGAATGGACTCAGGTCTTTCTCAAAATTGACCTTTCCATGCCATTTTTTTTCTCCTTCCAGTCCTGCTGTAAATCTAGTAAAGGAGAAAGTCTTCACCAGCAACACTTTTGAAGAACTAAATCTACATCCTCATCTGGTAAGAACAAACCTCAATATCTCTCAACAAACAAATCTTTCAACTGAAATGCTTATCCTATCTTTAGTCTTATACCTTCTTCTCATCTAAACAACTTCACAGGTGGCAACGCTCCATAAGGTGTTGAATGTGACCAGTATGACGAGGTACTGAAGCTTCATCTCAACGTTGTGTTGTCCTCCTCTGCCTCTTGTCATTTTTCTCATTTTCATCTGTGTGTCCAGTGTCCAGAAACAAACCATACCAGTGCTGATGTCTGGTAAAGATGCAGTCGTGCGCTCACAGACTGGATCAGGTGGGATTTCTGGCTTCTTTCGTGTTAATACTCCAAGAATGTCATAAATGTATTGTTGAATGATCAGTTCATGATTCATGCTATTTACAAGAATCCTACATGCAGTATTAACTCGACAGTTGTGTTATTTCTTGGCGCTGTAAAAAAAATAGTAATCACAAAAGGGTTTAAGTTAGATGACGCAGATTAAGAAGAACAAAAAACAGAAAATAGTTTTAAAATATGTGATTTTTGTCTTGTACAGGAAAAACATTGGCATATGGAATCCCAGTGGTTCAGTTCTTACAAGCGATGCAACCTAAAGTGAAGGCGAGTCAATGAATGTTTAAAACAGCACACTCAACGTCAGGACTTTACTGACTGATCACATAATCATTCTTAATTTATGTTTTATTATAGTTGGCTAAAATTAACATTTGTCTATTTTTGAAATTGGGGATATTCATAGCAGTCATACATTCAACATTGTACATTACACACATAACGTACAATACTAGAAAAACATGAAAGTTAGAAAAGTACACAATATAGCATACTTTCAAATAAAATGGTAAAATTATTTTTGAGTCAGATTTACTTAAAAATGTTACCAATAAAATGCACTATTAATTGCATTACTATTAATTACTATTAATGCACTATTAATAATGTATTTGTAGTCATGTGCAACAACTTTTAGATTATAAATTAAGCTTAATGTACTTTTTCAGAGATCAGATGGGCCTTTAGCTGTTGTCATTGTCCCAACCAGAGAGGTAGTGTATTAATTAATCCAAAACAACCAACATTTTGTGATTTGTCTTGCAGATGAACACTTATTTATTTCCTCTTGTTATATGCCCTTTTTTATTGCCTTCCAACATGAATCTGACTCTGGTTGTCCATCAGCTTGCCCTGCAGAGCTTTCAGATGTTTCAGAAGCTTCTAAAAGTGAGAATTTGTATTTCTGCTAAATGAATATGCTGTATTGACGTAATTGAGTTGACGTAAATCAAATCAATGTAATTATTCCTTTCAGCCTTTCACCTGGATCGTGCCAGGAGTTCTGATGGGAGGAGAAAAAAGGAAAGCAGAAAAAGCCAGGTTAAAAAAAAAACACAAACACACAGAGTTCATTATATCATTATTATGAATGCATTTTCAGGCAATAGATTTCAACTTTACTGAAAATACAATCTGTCTTTTTAAAATAAATTAATAATTTTAGTCAGTAAATATGCAGTGAATTGGTCAAAAGTGACAGCAAAAACATTTATGTTTGTTACAAAATATTTATATTTCTCTGTCTATTCATAAAATAATCCTGAGTCCTTGATAATAAGAAGTGTTTCTTGAATAGCATGTCATCATATTTTTGAAGGATCATCAAGACTGGAGTAATAATGCTGAAATTTCAGCTTTGACATTTCGGCAGCCATTACTCCAGTCTTCAGTGTCACGTGATTCT